AGTGCTTGATAGGAATTATAAAAAGGTATAAAATATTAAATCCAACAGTACCCACAATTTTGAATTGTATATCTGGAAAACTACTACAGTGAGCTCTTTCAAATGGCACCATTTAATATAGTTCAGGATAAACTTGTATTTGTTTTATTTTATAGTTTGCAATTTAGTTGTATAAATTAAGGCAAAGAATGACAGTTTTAATAGACACTTATAGCTAACATTTGCTAGTATTTGAAATGTGATTGTACTTAATGTCTAATCTTTCAGCTGTTTGTTCCAAGAGGCCACTTGGCGTCTTGTGTAAGAACAAGAGGCGCATGAGATACATTGTCTGTGACAATATTCTGCATGTTTTGCAGTATAGTCAGCTCCTCTAGCAGTCTGGAGGCTGCATGGTTTCAGCTCGTGTTACAAGCACAGGAACAGGTGGTTGGTGCTGGTTAGCCACTGTTGTGTTATGAGCTTGCAGAAGGATTGAGTTTGTTTGACTGACGTTCTTAAAATTTAAGACATTGTTGGCAGATAGATAGTGAATACTTATTTGGTATTCCTATTTATACAATAGTACCAAGTTGTATTTTAGTTAACAATTCTGTTACTTTTTCATGTGTTAAAATTAACCTATATCAGAATCAGCTTTATTGTCATATCTTCATGTCATGTCTATATCCATATCCTCTGTTGTATTCTAAAACAGGAAGCTTTCAACCTGTTGAAATGTAGATTATTCTGATTATGAATTAACTTTTACAAACTGCAGCTTCACATTTATTGTAACTCCTGTTGGATAAATAAGATATTCGGTAGCAACATTTATTTTATTCTGTGTTTCTTCAGGTTAGGATGGAGTTGGACGAGATGTCTAAGTGGCTTCAGGAGGATGGTTTGTCTTCAGAAGCGAGTGCGGAGGAGCGGCAGCGACATCTGTGGCAGCAGCTGCTCAGCAGTGAGGCAAAGCTTCGGTCAGCCACTCAGGAGCTGCAGACCTTACGTATCCTGCAGGCCAGCGAAATGAAGGAGGTGAGACATTTCACCAGTGCTTCAGCTGACCAGCTGTTGCCACCACATGTTCAGCTATTTGTCCTTCATGGTTCAGTGGAACGGCTGGGTCAACTAAACAGAACTGCAGCAAATTTTGGAAGTATATACATTTTGCACACTATTTAACAACTGATGCTTTTAAAATGGGTACAGATAAAAAAAAAAAAAAGTTTATTGAACATAGCTGATTGTGTTATTTTTATTTTTTTCAACTATCAGGTGGAGAGCTATGTGGCACATATTCGAACGCTGCTGGAGGAGCGTGAGTGTCTGACAGCAGAGTATGAGAGAGACAATGAAGAGCTGCGACTCGAACTTCATCAGATCAAACATCAACTAGGTGAAGACAGTAAATTATTAATAGTGGTAGCATTCTTGTGTTTGAGCTATTTTTAACACCTTAAATAATTGTCTTTCCAATTCAGTTCAGGTTATTTATACAGTATGGCACTAAGTCTCGACAGAAGTCGTCTCAGGGCACTGAACAGAAACATTCACGTACTTTAAAAAGCCAGTTATAGTAAGGAAGCAGCAGATTGCGTTGAATTTTCACTTCGTCGCAGTCTCCCATCCTGAGCAAGCACACTGGCTACAGTGGAAAGGAAAAACTCCCTTTTAACAAGAAGAAACCTTCAGCAGAACCAGGCTCAGGACGAGCGGCCATCTGCTTCGACTGGCTGGGTTTGAGAGGACAGGAAGGAGAAACAAACATTGGATGGCAGGTCCAGTTGTACTTACTATAGGAGGAAAGACAAAAAAACATGTTAAGTAAAGAAATAATTACAAATACAAACAGGTAAAGAAGAGCAAGTAAAGACAGCTGCAGAGTGATGAAATGTGGTCAGGTTGTCCTCCCGCAGTCTAAAAGCCTATAAGGGACTATTACTACTAAGGGATAACTCAGGAAACCCAAGCTGATACGAACTATAGGATTTATCAAAAAAGGAAAGACTTAAGCCTAATCTCAAAAGTTGACAAGTTGCAAACCTGCAGTCTGAGAGTGATCTGTTAGGAATGTAAGAGACAATAACATCTGTAATATATAATATAAGATGGAGCTAGGTTGTTGAGAGCTTTGTATGTTAGAAATAGGAGTAAACTGTAAACAGTATCCCTAAGATGGATATTTACCTATGTTTCAATGAAAGACAGTATCATGAAGCGTTATCTTGATTTAGATATTATTTTGTAGTCCTTCTATACTGAACTGATGAGGAATCTCCTTTTTTAGACTGCCAGAGTAAGGAACTGTCTGAAATGTTGGCTCAGGAAGACCTGGGGGAGATGGGTTTGAGCAGCCCCAGCGAGCAGGTGGCTTACCTACTGGTGGAACGAGCCACGCTGTTGGAAAGGTTAGAGGCTGCTGAGGGGAAACTGGAGAGTCAGAGTTTCGCTGGGTCTTTGAAAGATTGTGACCACCAGGTAAATAAACAAACAAACAACAAAACCCAAATCCAATTTAATTTCTTCAAACAAAACAAGTAACACAAGTCAACATGTGCTGGAAAAAGTAATGAAAGTACAATTCTTCAGTATATTGAGGAAAAGAGCCGTGCAAGGTTTAAAAAGTGGCAAATGAAATCCATTCCACAAATATATCCAACTTTTTCAAGGATAATATTGTAATTTTTCATCTCTAAAACAACAAAGATGTTGAATTATACTGTAGTTATTATTTGGTATAAAATCTTTAGTGGCTGTAGTAAGTATATTTTTTAACACTGATTTAGTACTCTGCATTTTTCATAATTGTTTAGAGTCACTGGCTCTTTTCCTGTTTCAACATCAATATTAAAATATTTAGATGTAACGATGCACAGTAAAAAAAATAAATGTGTTGGTTATTTCAAAGTACAGAATTTCTGTGAGCTATGTATCATACGGTCTAATATTTTATTAAACATAAACATTCAATTATTCTAAGTGTATTCTGTCCCTTGCATTAGGTGTTGCTTCATAGTTCTCTTCATATGATACAGTGGTTCAGCTTTTTCTCTTGAACTAAACTGTAACCGTGGGGCTCCTGCATCATGAACAATAAATGTGCAGTCACCACTCACATTAAATATTTTAAGCATAACTGTTATCTAACCAAAGTACATCCAGACATTATGAATGTGGTTCAAATTTTTTTTACTGGTTTATGACACAAACAGGAGCATGTACACCACATGATGGGAGAGGACATACATCATCAGAGAGGGGACATGCAGAAGACCATAGACAGCATAACAAAGGTGAGGTGATCTTCATTTGAACTAATTATCCATGAAGAATGAAGTTTGGAAACAAAACGGATCGTACTTCCTCAGTCAGGGTAAAGGATTATTGTGCACACGCTGGTTTTTCCTCTCGGCAGTGTTCATCCCAGAGTCCATGGAAGAAGCTGTTTGGCCTGCACAGGTCTGGTCAGAGCAAACACAATGTGGCTCCTGTAGGTGTACACTTTACAGCTAATGCTAACCAATTACTAACACTGGTGTTGTGGTGAAAACCAAAACATAGGAGTACAGTATCACTGGCTTGTTAAATACTTTACACATTGAAAAAACAGCATCCGTTTGTGCTTGGATATCAACATGCATACAACATGGATCACTTCAGTATCGCATACATGAGGAATCATTGTTAAAACGCAAATGAAATAACAGCACTGTTACATTTTCTTTCTTAATAAGGTGGCGCTTTTTGCATGCCATACCCCTGTCTCAGCTCTGACTCTGCTTTTCTTATTTTAAAATGTAACTTAAAAAAAAAAAAAGAAAGAAGACTAAACAAAACCACCAATGTCACAACAGCATGGGTACTCTTTTCTTCCAGTTATGTTTCTGTGCAAATGAAACCTAAATAACTATTTTCCTTGCCTCTCTTCAGGCCTACAATGATGATAAACCTCGGCCTGAAAGTGCATGCTTCTCTCAGCTGCATGTTGGCTCACTTGCATCTCTGGTCAAACCGCCACTCTTTTTTTTTGCTGTTCTCCTCCCGCACTAACCTTCTCTGCTTCATTATTTTTACATCAGGCTCACAGTGAGGAGATTTCCAGGGATCGGAATGAGCGGCAGCGGCTGGAGCGAGACCTGGAGGAGGCGTCCAGGAGGCTGGCGATGGCTCATCAGGACATCCGCAGACTCACCAATGAGTTGGATGAAGCCAGAAACAACAACCAAAACACGAGTGGTATGTCACAAAGACTAATCATAGCTTTCTGTTCAGTATACCTTATTTTACTTTGTACAAATATATATAGTTGTGTTACATGAATATTGTAGCATACCTTATTATAATATTATATCATACATCATGAAGGACCCCACTCACCCAGCACACACACACTTGTTGCTCCCCTCAGGAAGGAGGTTAAGGAGCATTAAGTGTAGAACTGTAGACTGAGGAACAGCCTCTACCCTGAGGCAGGAAATATATGAACAGCAGGAAAAATATGAAGTATTTTTAGTGTTTAAAATATTTTATAATCCCAGAATGGGAGCTTCAGGGAACAGTTCAAGAACTAGAGAACCTGAAGAAGGAAGTGGACAAACTGCAACACAGCGGTGAGGCAGAGCGGTGTGAATGTTACAGATATAAATTAATAAAACAATTAGGTTTAGAAGGTGTGTGTACAGTAGTCCCTTGTTTATTGTGGGGGATCCGTACCCTGAAGCCCCGCGATTAGTGAAAAACCATGAAGTAGGAATAGTAGTACAAGTAGTAAGTAGTAGTTGATTTTAGTATTTACATATATATATATATAAAGGTGTTTTAAACACTTCTCACACTTGCAATATTCTAAACAATGTTTCTAAACGCTCTAAAAGAGCACAGCATGTCATGATTTCAGCTCTCTGCCTCTGGCTGCTCTCCGCCAGCGCTCTTGGCCACGCCCACTTCTCTGTTGCAGATGGCGAGCTATGACAATATGATGGAGATATGACATGCTGCAGGAGGAAGCTTCTCCTGCAGCTGTGGGCTGCACGCAGGTGCAGCAGTTGCTAAATAATTTAAAATCAAATTATTTTAAATAAAAATTCTATGCCGATCGTGCGGTTCATCCATTAATCAGCCAGTTGTGTGTCATGTCCAATCTTACTTTGAAAAACCACGATAGAGTGAGTCCGCAAAGTAGCGAGGGACTACTGTATATATTTTAATAACCTGGTATAAGGTTTACTTTTTATTTATTTTGACAGTGTATGGATTAGTGTAGACTAAAGTTACTTTTTCAGAGCAACGTTTTAGATTTGGCTTCATTTGTCGGCTCTATGTTTTGGTGCTGGGTGCAGTTTTGCAAAAACACCAGTTTGTTGCAGTTTTTTGCCATTACATGATGGTAGTCTTTAATATAGTGTTGGAATTGTATATCGTTTCTTCTCTTCTAAATTTTTGTATAATATAAAGTAAAGTTCTTATTGATTTAACTTAATTTTTGACTGTTTTGAATGGATTTACACAATACGGGTAAAAATGACCCGCAACATAATAAATGTATTTTTTTCTTGCCATAATCCAAGGGTTAAAAGAATGTGCAGGATCTGAAGATGTAGGCTGTTAATGCTTGTTTCATAGTCAAGGTCAACCATGACTGCACAGTGCAGACATTTACAGAGCTGTTCTGCTCTTCATTTAAATTTATTTTACTTTCTGATGAAACCTGCTGTTGTTGCCTCTTTACAATTCGAGCTAACATTCAATCAATTGGTAGTTTTATTTACAACCTACTTGTGAGGTAGTCACAAATGAAACAAAAAAAAAACTGCTTGGTATAAAGCTGTCTTTTAAATCAAGCTTTAAAAGGGTATTTATTTTAGAAAGCTGTTATTTACTTTTGCTTTTGAGCTAAATTTCCCAAGTATTTTATAAACTGAAAGTTTTGCAATTTTAAAGGAAAAGCTAGACTAAATATAAAAGAATGAAAATATACATGTGTAACGTCAGACGCCTGTTTACAGATGTGATGAAGCTGCAGCAAGCCAAAGCGCAAAATGACCAACTGGATGCTGAGAACAAGAGTCTCCGGGAAAGAGTTCACATCATGGAGCTAGAGAAAGAAAATCTCCTGGATCAGGTTGGCACATTTTGTTTTCTTCTTTCTTTACTAAAATTAAAACTCAAAAAAAGTTATTGCCAGAGTGTACATTTGTTTGGTATGGGGGTTTGTTTAGCAGACAAAAAATGATTCAGCCAGAGAGGATCTAAAGGACAAGAACAGTGAATCGGAAAACGGTGCACCAGTCCAAGAAAATGCTCAGATTCACAAACGGTAATTCCTCTACATTTAGCTTAAAATCTGACACATTTATGACTTCATCAGGAGTGTTTAGACTTAAATCGTGGTTTGACCGTGGTTATTCTATGTTAGGTGTCTGGAGGCGATGGAAGACGTACTTGTTCAGGTGAGAGAATTGCAACGACAACTCCAGCGGCTACGAAAGGAACAGGAAGAGCTAGAGGAAAGGAATGAGGAGCTGGAGGCCCTGTTGGGGGAGGCTCAAAATGCCAGCAAGGAGGAGCGACATCGTCATGAAGGAGAACTGGAGGGACTGCACAGAAGGGTAATGGGCAGAGCTTAGCTCTTCCTCAGCAATGCCTCATTAGTTCTAAGTGGGTAATAATATGAGACATTAATTTATTTAGGAAACATTTATGTTACATATAAAGAAATAAAACCATTCACCATAAATCAGTTCTGCAACCTGTGTCATGGCTGAATCTACAGATTAAAAGCCTGGAGGCAGAGCTGAAAAAGCAAGATACCCAGGAAAAACTGTTGAAGAATGGCGATGATGTCAAAACCACCGAGTCCTACTTGCAGTTGGTAGGAAATTACTCTCTTTTCATTTTTAGTAATATTTCTTTCAAAGATGTCACCGAGTGCTCTGGCTTGACCTCAGAGTTAGTGACAAATTGATTGTGACTCATGTGGAAAGTTAAATGTCGGTATCTAAATAAAACGTGGACATACACAGAGCTCTCCTCTAACCTTGCAAAAAGCACCTCAGGGACAGCACCCAGGAAAGAATGGCTCTGCTGGAGGCTCGCCTGACTGAGGAGAAGGAGTGGAGGAAACAGCTGGAGCTAGATCTCAGTGCTGCTCAGACTGCACTCAAAAAAGATAAAGAGGTAATAACTAAATACGTACATGTCTGCGTTCAAATGTGGGGAAGCAACAGTGCTTATAGTTTTAAAAATAATACATTGGTTAAAATTTTTTTTGCTGAATTTATGGAGCGTTTACGTTTTGCAGGTTTGTGTGGTTCATTTGAATGATTGTGGACACACTTACAAAATTTGATTCATACCAAATAAGCAGACTATGGCCTGGTTTATACTTCATAAGACATAAACATCAGATCTCACTGACGTGGTTGTTAGACTTTCTTTTGTGCATGGATACTTTATACTATTTTATTTATTATATAAATATATACAAAGAGAAGCTGCAGGAGAGAAGTCCTGGTAAGCCCTCCCACTGCAGAACACGTTACATGGAAACAAAAACAAAAGAGCAAGAGTACGGTTGTCAGAGTGGAGGCCTATTTTCAGTTGATAATATATTTGGAGGAGGAAGATCTTGTATTTTTGTGAACTTGTTTTGTAAATTTGTCACAGAGACTGCCACTGATTTCGACAAATAGCGTGTATTACACAAAGCTTGGCGCACACCTTGCAAGGCAATACTTCTGACAGGGGTTTCTGTACAGAACAGGATGTCAGGTGGTGTGAGAAGAACATTTTTTGCGATTTGCAAATGGGAATTTTCATCACTCAACCACGTCAGCGAGGAACGATTTTGACACTTCTCTTGACGTATAAACTCGCTTTAAGGTCTGCGAGAACTGTCTGCCAACAAACTAACCACCCACATCTTCAAAACTACTTTCAGTTCAGTTTGACGCTGAAGCTGCGTTCTAAACAAACTTTAGGTCTAAAAGTTTTGTTTATTAAACTGAATTGTCACAACTTTGTTAGGTATTTGTTTGTTTATGTATAAAAGGAAAAATTCTAGGCTAAAACCTAAAAATGGAATTATAAGTGTAGACACGTCCTTCAAATAATTAAGCAACATCTACATTTTCTTGTAATTAAAAAAAAAAAAATCTGCTCCCAAGGCTTTGCAGATAGGTGAGCGAGAACTAAAGAAGCTGAGACTTGAGGTCAGCGGCCTTCAGACCGAATGCCAACAAGGGAAAACACTCATTAAAAGTCTGACTCAAGTGAAGGGAGAAAAGGCCGTTTTAGAAGAAAAGGTTTGTTCAGATTACTTCTCTGCCTATTTTTTTTTTTACTTGGTACAAACATGGTATCAACAAATGTATTAACATGAATATATTGGTGTTGAATTACAACTTTTAGGTTCTCTGACTTTGACTCTGCTTTTTAGGTGGCCCGGATGGAGCGTGCTCACAGCAGACTCCAGGCCGAGCTGGAATCCCACAAAGAAAATACCCAGACTCAGTTAGACTTTCGGGAAAACAGGTTTCCCTTTGACCAGCAGGAACAGATTGACCGCCTGACACTTGAACTCAGCAGCCTCCAGACAGCACACAACACTCTGAGGTTGCTTTCAGTGCAGACTTTGCAATACGGTTCATATTTAAGTTGTAGTTTTTTCAATAGCTCTCAGTTGTCGCAACAAATACCTTCATTTGTTTTTATGACCAAAGACGAGATAGGGCTGTGATGCTGAAGCTTGCTTGGTTTGCATATGTGTGCATGAATTCCAGGGATGAGATGGCCTCTGAACGACTGAAGATGACTGAACTTCAAGCCGAGCTAAGCGCTGCTGTTCAGAAGAAGCTAGCAGCCGAAGGGGAAAGAGAAAGACTAGAACTTGAGATTCAGCACCTTAAAAAGCAACTTCTGTGGACTCAAGAGCAGCTGTCCTCTGCAAAGGAAGCGCTGAGTCGCAGCCAAAAGCTGGACCTGCAAACAACTAGTACAGAATCAAGGCTCCGTCCTGTGCAGAACACCAACTCTGAGGCTTTGGCTCAGGTAACTTTATTTACCTTTAAAAGTTAAACAGGTCTGAATGTTAAATCACTTTTAACTTTTTTATTAGATGTTTTAAAATAGGACAAGGTGGTGAAAAAAACCACAGTCAAAGTTAGGCTCCAGCAGGATTTAATATTCTTACAAATCCATCCATCCATTATCTATACTCGCGTCATTCTTATTGGGAAACAGGGGTCACTGGTGCTCGTATCCAGCAGTCACTGTGCAAGAGGTGGGGGACACCCTGGACAGGTCTCCAGTCCATCACAGGGACATATAGAGACAAACAACCATTTATTCTCTCACTCACACCTAGGTACAATTTAGAGTTACCAATTAGTCCAACATGCATGTTTTTGGTCTGTGGGAGGAAACGAGTACCCGGATAAAACCCACACATGCACAGAGAGAACTGCAAACTCCACCCAGAAAGGCCCACAGCCGAGATTTGATCCAGCAACCATCTCACTGAGAGGCAGCAGCTCTACCAACTGAGCCACTGTTCCACTGTGCCACCATTATTACAAACCAATATGAAAATATTATCAGTATCTATAACATCTCTTAATAAAATGAGGATAACGAGTTACAACAACAAATAATTTCCCTTTGGGATTAATAAAGTATTTTTGAATTTGAAATTAATTTCCTTTTCTACTTTCCCATCTAATTTTTCATGTCCATGTGTCTGATATTTAAAGGTTTCATCTTCGAAGAAAGAGCTGAATCGTCTTCAGAACGAGCTGGAGGAGGAGCGGCAGCTGGCCTCTCAGCACCAAATGGTGCTTGAAGCTCAGGTTAATGAAGCCCAGGCTCATATCAAGGTACATAATGATAATAACACTTTATAGCATCCCAACATAACAATAGTGTTTCTGTAGCTGAGTTCAAGATCTCTAATATTAATCATCTTTTTGGCATTCTAAGTGTTTTAAAATTAGTTTATCATAATAATTAGCATAATAATATGGCGTTTTTATTGTAGCTGCTTTAGCCTTCTGTACTTTAAGCAATACACATCAAAAGACTGCCTTGCAAAAGTAGGTAGGATGCCTGGAATTGGCTCGATGATTCATAGCAGTCATAAATAACTTAACTGAGAATTTATTCATGTGTCTGTTTTACCTTTCTGATCGTCTCAACACTTGTTTCCATCCTCAGTCCCAAGATTCTCTGCTGAGCCAGAAGACAGAAGAGGCTAAACAGATGAAGCAGGACGTGCAGAGGGCTCAGAGCCTGTTTACTTCAGCTGAGAGAGAGCTGCGCTACGAGAAGGAGAAGAACTTGGATCTGAAGAGACACAACACTCTGCTGGAGCAGGAAAAACTCAAAGTTGGTATTTAGTTATAGCACATCCGCAACTTTCCGACTGCATCTGACACTTACCTCGTAATCATCTTAATCATTCTGTTAGACGCCCAGTCTCTAAAATGCATATCAAGATTAGCTAATTTAAAACTGTACTATAAACTTCAACACGGAGGACATTCGTAGTGCAAAAGTTTCAAACCAACCCTCATTTCTGTATAAGTTGTGTCCATGGATTGTAATGTTCTTATATTTTTTAAGTGACCTTTGATAAAATGTTATCCAGGTTGAGTGGAGGTCTACCACTGAAAGATAAAAATACACCTAATTTTAAAATGAGCATTTTGTAAATTACTGCACATCCTTTTTTCCAGTTGGTAGTTCAAGAAATGTCTGATGGTTTAAAACTTTTGCACACTGCTGCCTATATATTTTGCTCTTTTTCTTTCAGCGAGAGTGCTCTAATTTTTCATACGCTTCCTCCAGCTTTGTGCAGAACTGAAGCAGACCCAGCTCAAACTGGCCCAAGTGGAACAGAAAGTCCAAACTCAGGCTGCTGAGTGTGAACGGCAGCAGCAGAAAGTCAGAGAACTGGAGCTGGAGCTGGCACGCAGCAGCACAAGCCGCGGTGCCACCACCAGCCTGCAGGAGGAGTTACAGGCAGAGAGGGCACGCCTCATTGCTGCTGACAAGAAGGTAAGTGCTCCCACATGTTGGACCCACTCTCAGAGAGGTTCTGCCCTTAGTTTCTGATTTAACAATGTCATCGATCATGTCTTTATAAGAACTACCAAAAGAAAAAAAGACTAACTAAACTTAAAGTATCATGAACCACTAGTTTGCTTTGAATGAAACTTTCAGAAAGTAATCATTTGATGCACATCTGCAACTCAGTCTGATTCAAGATGGCAGTCATGGCTAACATTAGCCAAAATGGCTCTAACTCAGTCAGTTTTACAGATATTGAGCTAAAATTGTACGTGGCAGCTGAGTTATTGACAACACATACTGAGTGGGACATCCTACAACATCCCATGAAATTGGGAATAATGCTATTTTCTGTTTTGACCAAAATGGAAACTACTCCATCATTTCTTAACATAAGAAGATATTTGTTTAAAATCCTGACATTAAAGGCGGTGGGTGAAATGCATTCTTATAAGGGATGCTAGCCCTTTAATTTGTATTTTGTTTTGTTAATGAGATAATGTAATGACACATTTCAACTTGTGAGCTTGGCAACACTAAAGATAACCTGATTTGAATTGACCATGCAATAAAGACCTTATTTTTATTCTTATTTACCTTCTGCTTATTAGTATAATATCTATACGTCATACCCTAGGGATATATGACGCGTATCAGAGATAAACCTTAATGGGATTTACTGTTTGTGACCTAATTTATCTTCTGTCTCTAGTGAAGTTAATCCTTACCTGAATATTAAGGAGCAGAGTGAACGTTTGCCCATACGCATGAAAATAAACCTCATGGTAGAACTTATTGAAAATGTGTTCTACCTTTTCATTTTCTGTCAACATTAAAAACAATGTTTGTCAGACATTCGAAAAGTAATCCCAGCACAGCTTTGAAAAGGATGCAAGTTTCAGAGGTCATGTCTCTGTGAGTGAAGTTTGTGTCTTTACTGTGGTGGAAGGTCTTGGAGTTGCAGCAGCAGCTGAAGAACGCCCAGCATCAGCTGCGTGTGGAGGAAGCTCGAGCCGGTGAGAGCAGCCGCCTGGAGAGGGACAGCAGGGATCTGTCCGACACCTTAAGTTCCCTGAGAGCCCAGCAGCAGGAGGAGCACATCATCAGGTTAGCTGTCCTGCAGCTGTCACACAATACAATACAACTTTATTTATAAAGCACTTAAAAAAAACGTTGGCCAAAGTGCTTTACACTGATAAAAGCAAGCATAAAAACGATAAAATCAAGAAAAACTGTAAAAGTAATGAACTGTTAAAATCATAAAAACAGCAAAATCAACATTTCAAGCTGAGTTAAAAGCCAAAGAGAGAAAAAAAAGAGTCTTCGGAGAAGATTTAAAAACAGGAAGTGAGTCAGCTTGTCTGACATGCAAAGGCAGCTCGTTCCACAGTTCAGGGGCAGCCACTGACAACGCTCACTCACCTCTCAGCCTCCTGTTGGACTTTAGGACGACCAACAGCAGCTGATCTGCTGACCTGAGCGAGCATGAGGGAACGTACAGTAGTCAGTAATGACTGACTCAGACCTGCATAAAGTGAATTACAGTAGTCCAGAAGAGTTGTGATGAAAGGATTAAAAATCTTAAAATGATGTCGTGGGAGAAATGGTTTGACCATGGCTAGTTGTCTCAGGTGATAAAAGCTGGACTTGATCATTGATTTAATCTGTGCATCCAGTTTAAAAGCATCGTCCAGCCTCACGCTCAGGTTGTTGTCTGAGTCAGATGTTGTTAAAGGACCTAGATCAGCATGGGCTTTTGAACCGTCACTGGGTTTAAGCAACAAGACCTCTGTGTTTTGCTCATTAAAATATAAAAAATTCTGTGAACAGAGATGGATTTTATTTTATCTACAAGCCATCCTTCATTGTTCTTTTCAAACCATTCTTCTCTCAGGAAGCTGTTAGAGCAGCGTGAAGAAGAGCTGCATCAACAGGTGCGTTCTTTGAGGCTGAAGGAGGCTTCTCTAAACAGGACAAACACCGAGCTCAGCCACCGTGTCCAGCAGCTGGACACTCGTCTGTCCATCCTGCAGGCGGAGCTGAACAAGACAAAAGAAGAGGTGAGGAATGACGTGCAACAGGTCCTCAGATGTTAACGATTTCATGTGGTTTTAACACCTGCGGTGACATTTCTTTCACTTTGACACAATTGTGCATTCCTCTGAAATTTTGCTTCATTGTGACTTTACCTGTTTGAGTTTTCAGCTTGCCAAAAGCTTTTTTGGTGAACTGTTTTGAAATATTTGCAGTCCAATTATTTTATTGTTTCTTTAGTAAATGTGCAAAATTGTTCATGCATTCTTTGAACCCATCACTTGGTGCAAATCACAGCAATCAGTAAACTAGAATTTTGTATCTGATGATGCAGTCTTGGCAGTGATATTGGTGCTATTCTATTCTGAACGTGCTCTCAAGGAAAAAAACAGTCAGAAGTCAAACCACAAGCTGCAGCAGGAGCTGGCGTCCAGTAAGCAGGAGAGTGAACGGCTGCAGGAGGAACTGCAGCAGGTTCTCCTACAACTGGATGCTAGTGTCAGGTCAGACATGCACATCACTAAGCTTAGCATTATGAAATAAAAGTCCCAGCTCAGAATGATCAGAGAAGTCACACACACTTTTAACTTTTTCGTTATTATTGTTTTTTCTGATCCGTGAACCAGAAAGTACAACGAAAAACAGATTCATCACAGGAGCAAGCTACATCAAGCCAAGCAGCTTTTTCTTAAAGCAACAGCTCAGAGGGACTCTACCATCCAGAAACTAGAGAATGACCTGGCACTGGCCTCCAGTCTCTCACACAAGGTGTTACACACATCCCCCCACCACACACACACACACACACCTTTTAGTCCCAAATATATGTAATATTTTTCAACTGTTATTCTCTAAAAGCTCCCCAGTTTTTATATATTTCTTTGTCTTGCCTCCTCCCTTGGTGGCCATTAGGCGAAGGAGCAGATCAATACGGTGATGATCGAAAACGAGAAGCTGCTGGAGGAAAAAAGGGAACTGCTGCGGAAGATAAGCGAGGCAGAAGAAATGGGCAGCAAAGGCATGAGGATGGCCTCTACAGTCCAACACAGGTAACCTAATGAATCACTTTTTACACGCTTGTGCCTTAGCTCATTTATGAAGTGTAAACATTAATAACCTGGTAAAGAAAAATAAATAAATAATACATTTTAAATCCCACAACTAAAGATCTTAAATCTAAATTTGATATGTAAAGTTGCTCTTCCACAACATGTTGACAACAAAAGTTTGTTTTAGTTATACAGTAGTCCCTCGATACTTTGCAGTTAGACTTTCGCTGAGTCACTCTTTGCCGGATTTTCAACGTAAGATTGAACACGACACATGATTGTCCATGGGGAAAGACAGACCCCAACCCCCACCCCCTCCTTTCTCTCTCTCTGCTGTGACAGACAGCCTCAGAAAGAGAAAGGAGGGGGCAGGGTCTGTCTTTCCCCATCACTACTACTCAGGGAGCAGGAATGAACGGATCAGATGAACAAATGTAGAATATCAGAGAAAATGTTTAGGTGGAAAAATAAGAGTGAAAGAGAGTGGCTGAGTGCGTCTTACTTAGGTGTAAGACAGACCCCCCCCTCCCCACTTCTCTTTCCAAGGCTGTCTGTCATAGCAGAGAAAGAGAAAGGAGGTGGTGAGGGTGGGGCCTGTTGTTCCCCATTGTGTCCCAGAGACACACAACAGGCGAGCGCACAACAGACAGACTTGGAAAAAGAAAGGCGGGCGGTTCTTGAGTGAGCCGCATGAGCAGCATGGATTGTTTATTTAAAATAATCAAGCGCGTAGAGTGTGGGAAGGGTTTATAAAGCCTTATATAAATAAATACTCAAATAAACATCCCTACTTTGTGGATTTTCACCTATCATGGCCCGCAGGGTTGTCTGGAGCGTAACCCCCACGATAAGTGAGGGGCTACTGTAATCAGAAGTATTCCTGTGCTAATCAAGCATAAAGAAAAAGTCACTCTTTGCTCACCGAACTAACCCAGGGATAACATTTATTTTACTGTACAGTCAAATAAGTTATTATTTTCCACTGAGTGCCTTTAGAGTCTGCATCTTTCTATTTAATATCAACCATACAGGCCCTTTGCCTCCTGATGATCATCTAATTATATCACTCTATTGTACAAGATAATCTCAGTCTGTTTTTTTTTTATTTCATTTTTGACGGTTTTAACAAGCTATTAAATGCAATCAGAAAAAAGGTGTCCCTTTCTACTTTAAAAGAAATGTCTTTAAGATTAAGGCTAGGCAAAGATGGCAAAATATGACATTTTTTGGCCATTTGAGACACATCTAATTGTTTTTAAGTGTGAATGTCACAAATCTGTTTTTTTTTTTTTATCTGACTCAGGTCACTTTCATATTCAGTACAGATAATTTAGTCTGATTCGATTGCACCACACCTTCAGAATTGATACACACGCTAACACATGTAGCATCCATATTTTATGTAAACAGTGTGCTGTGCGACGTCATTTTCTGCACATGCAGAGCTGCAGATTGTTCACATTAGATGGTGATCAAATTTAATTTGTATTGTAAAACAACCACACAAAATATCTCAGCAAAATATTAGAATTGCGATATTAAAACCTGCTGTGTGATTATAGCCTCATTTATTTTCCAAAAATGCCTTTTCAGACTTCAATATCTCAGGAAATGAAGCACAAAATTGGCCTTGGTGTACTTTAAACTTTAGATTTATCTCAGTACCTTGCTGTACTCATCCTATAATGAAGTATCTTACCTGTGAGTCTTATTTGCTAATTGAATAGAAATTAAAATTTCTACACGTTATTGTCATTATCATCACAAGAAAGTATTTTCTTCTTGTCAGCCTATAATGTCAGTAATCTACACAAACTACTAAGAATATCAAGAGTTTGTCATTTTTAAATTGTGCCTGAGTGTAAACGTAAACCTCTTCCAGGGTTAATGTCTTAGAAGTGGAAAACAGGCAGCTACAGGACAGAACAATAAAGCTCTCAAATCAAGTCAGCTCCTTGGAACGAGCTCTGAGGAACGTCAAGTCGATCTACAGTCTGGAGGTAGAAATATATATTATTTATTTAGATATATTTAAAACAATTCTATAAGAATGTTTGTGTTTGGTAATAAATCATTTACATTTTTAGCAGAATGCCAAAAAAGTGGTCTCCTCTGATGGTCTCTCTGAGGGCATCCTTCATGCTTCTACACTAAGGTAAGGCCAGGGACATAAAAGTAGTTTATTATGTAAAATATGAAACAATAATGGCTTAATAACACTCATTAAACAATACCTAGTCAACATTGCCTTAATGTTCCATGTAGCCTCATTTAAACATGTCTGATACAAGGTGACATGACTGGGCTGTACATCCACTGAGGTATATTACTAAAGGTCCTGTAGACTCAGCGTTTTCTCACAGTACAAGTCATATTAGCAGCCACGTGGTGTGTAAATCAAAACACCGGTGAATCTAAGCAGCTGAAACTGTCACTTTTTCTGCATGCGTAAGCTTAGACCAGTCAGCATCAGAACGTTGGGAGTTTACTGGCATCTATACAACAGATAAATCCTCTCAGCTCAAGAAAAAAACAACTCATTTTTACTTCACCAGTTGTGTTGTCTCCACTGTTTATTACATGAGAAACTTCACAACTATTGTACTCAGAAGTGTTTTTCTGAAGCTAATTTTCTCCTAACATGATTAAAAATAATAATTTAAGTTGTATCAAGCTCAAATTAGTTAAAATGCTTAAAAGCATTTTTCTCTTATTTTGCTCAGATGCTAATAATAAAACGAACAAGTTTTAACTGTATTTGATATAACACCATTTGATTGTGCGCTGTATGCGTGACAGCTTATACTGCGTTGCTGCACGTGACCAGTTCAGAGTGGGCTTCACTGTTAAAATAAAACCTCCACATACGTTTGTTACGCAGCGATGTAACAGTGAATTTTCAGTCTGACCTCAGGCTTCTGTGACCGCGTGGACATCCTGGACACAATCTGTCGTGCGAAGGTGAGCAAGCACGTGGTGTTGGACAGCACGAGTGCATCGGTCCCAACATGGCCGCCACTTGAGCAGGGATACCTGAATCTCACGTCCCCTCTGGTTACTCCAGCCTGCACACAAGCCACCGAGGACAGCCCTAATACGAGCGGGCAGGTCTGAGGGCTCATGCCCCCGAGGGTTGCATCAGCACTTCACTAGCCAGTATTTGTCAGCACGTCTGCCACTTCCGCTGCAGACAAAAATCTGAATGAGGTAATAATAAAGTCAGTAATAATGAAAGAGCTTCTACTACAGCTCTGCTCAGGGTTGCGTTTGTTTTCCAGCACTGTATTTTAATCCCAGACCTTATGAAAAAGAGAAATGGGAGATTTTTTAAAAGGCTTTTGTAAGTGTCAATTAAATGTAATCTGTAGAAAAGTTTTTAAACATATTTAATTAGCTCTTGTTTTTGAAAGCCAACCCATGACGAACTTGTCGGAAAGCACAAGTGTGATTACAGTTAGGAAATCTAATCAGAATGACTGAAGAAGTACTCTGCTTGTTGTGTAAAGTTACATAAATACCAAGTATTTAACATCGGTGATGTAAATGTTAATCAGATGAGGAGTCTCTTTATGTGTATTGTTTAAGCACTTTATAACATGTTTTTTTTTACACTAAAGTTGTTTACAATGAAGAATCTGTAGCGGTTGAACTCAATCGGAGAGATTGGCATTTTGCCCTGTTCAATTTAATCTGCAGTTTTAATGCCTTACAACACCTGCAGTTTTTATTTATGAGTCTTTTATGTTTTAAATTCAACCAGCAGGTTTACCAGTTTACAAGTTTTTACTGATATCAAATATAAAAATATTATTTTTAAAGGGCCCATTTCATGTTGTTATGATATACTCATGGTACTGATGGTACCTAGCGTGAGACAGGTCACTCACATGTCTTTCTAGTAGCCCCCACTCCAATATTTACCATGTGAAGTGTCCAAAAACTTCCAGCAGTACACAGAATCTGTTCACAGCATCACTTGTTTTTCTTTCCTCTCTACTTAAGATTCTCCTGTAAAGCTGCATACTGTGGTCAGATTAGCAGACGTTTCTGCTTTGCACATCGCAATAAATACACGACTAGATGTGAAAATATTTGTTAGGATTTGTTATTTACAAGTTATAAAACAAAGACTTCACGTTCAGACTGTGCTTTAAGAGTTTCTATCTCAAAAAATTAAAACAAAAGCTCCAGTCCTCCACACACACGTCCAAGTATGTCCATGCCCAACCATAAACTGGTATTATTTAGTTTAATACAAAAGTCTCAGTCATGTGCCTGAAGGGATGAGGTTTTAAACTTCATCTTGCTGCTGCATGAATGCTTTTACCAACAAAAATGTTTATTTGAAGTGTGCAAATCAAAAAGAAACTTGTTTTTGTACAAGAATAAAAAAAGAACTATTTTCATAAATAAAGTGTTGATTGTTTGTTTTTCATTTACCACAAAAAAAAAAGTTTAGTTTCCAACTCAAATCAAGAAACGGGATAGTTTTAACAGTCTGTTTATTAAACAAGGTAAAGATACAAAGCTTTTTTTTTTTTCATTTCTTTTTTAAACATTGATTACTTTAGTTGGACTTCTCAGTCTCGGCTGTGCATATTTAGTCGTCTAGAAACTGTATATGAAACATCAATGCAAGACAGAAAAAAGTGTAATAATCCTACAGAATATCTTTTTATAGAGAACATGGGTTAAACAATTATACAGATTACAGCTCAAGAACTCCATGCGGATCAAACAAAAAACAAAACAAAAGAAGTCTTTCCACGACTGAATACTGCAGAACACAATACAGAGTAATGGAGTTGTAAGGCGTACATGTAAATAACTGATATAAAACATGGGTATTAATAAGAGCTTACAGGTAGACTAAAATAATTACAGTAAAATTTATATATAAACTTTTACAAAAATACAAACAGAAAATGTAGATGGAAACGTAGAAACAGGTGCTATAAACAAGTAACATGGTTTAAGCGCAGTGGTTCCCAACAGTTGTCCTTGAGGAACACCATCCTGCATGTTTTACTTGTCTCCCTGCTTTGACACACCTGATTTGAAGCAATGGGTGATTAACAAGCCTCTGAAGAACTTGCAGTAATTAAATCACTGAATCAGGTGTGTTGGAGCAGGAAACAATTGAAACGTGCAGGATGGTGTTCCTCAAGGACCAGGGTTGGGAACCACTACTTTATGGTACATCAGCGTACATTTTCCCATGAGCTCAAAAGAAGAGAGTTAAGTTGAAGAGGCAGGGTCTGTTGTTTGGAGTGAATGTCCGTTTCCAGGCCAGTGGCTTGAGTCGTAGGTTTTAATTCTTATTTTTTTTTCTTATTATTTTTCTGAAAATGTTCTATATACTGTATATGTATTTTACATTAGTCTCAGTTCCATCTCAAAACCTACCGTCTAGTCGCAGCACCTTTTCTGAAGTACCCTGGTGAACACAGGGGACTCTAGAAGTACCATTCAGAGATTACAGTTACAGTAAAAATACAACAAATACTGTGTACAATAAAAAATAATACTAAAGAAGAAAAACAAAACAAATGCTGTGGATTCCCTTCAGCAAACACATAACTACTGACTTATACTGCAAATTCCAAAGGGGTAAAGCTTATTAGAGATTAAAATTAAAATAAAACCTTGATTGGGTTAGAGAAACTGTACAATAACTTCACATTTTGGTCCAGTGGCTGGATTTTGAATCACCCACTCACGAGTAAATTTTTTATCTTAGCTGTTTTGAGCTTATATTAAAAAATAAAAAAAGTGGCGAAGAGGTGAAAAAGAGCTGGCACCGACACATACGGTAATTCTTATAAAATATAAAAGCTCAACCGAATCATAAAATAAAAATAAAGTTTCCCCCTAAATTTTCCAAAGTTTTTATATGGCACTGATCACTGGGATGAAAGGAGTGTTTGTAACGACTGGCAGAATCACAGAAGTGACTCAAATATGAAGTGAAAGGTTTTTAACAAAAAAAAAAAAGATTTATTTTTGCTTCCTCGTGCCAATAATTCAGCCTCCTTAATACAATCATAAAAAGTTTTAATTGTCATCAAGCGATTGCCTTTAGTCAAATTTCAGTGAAAGAGTCCTTGTGCAGAAATGTAAAGAAAAACAAAGAAAGTCACGCAAAAGACGGGTATTTGTACTTTTAGCTGCCACAACTTATGCCCTTTGGCATTTTCCATCCAACATGATTGAAATCATTTGAGCCAAAATCAAAAGGCCAAAAAGTGCTTTACGATTTTCTTTAGATGTGTTTGACATACACCCAGCAAACTTTTTATTTATTTATTTCTCACAACTCTTATAGGGCAAATACCATCTGGCATATTATGGAAACCCATTAAATGGAAAAAGGAAAAAGACCTAAACTAAAAAAAAAAATATTTAAATCTAGAACATTATTGGCCAACGCTTCCGACGGTGTACACGATGCTTACAAAAGTGCTTATTGAATCTGACGCCAGACATTCTTCAAGCCACCAGATAACATCAAGCTGTACTGTTACATTCACAAAAATACCGCTGTGCTCACTTTTGACAGGCGACCCGAGACGGATGAAGGTTGTCCGTTTTCTGAATCTTACACCGAATTCTCATGTCAGCTGTCACAAAGGTAACGTACTGTAAGTCTGATGGAGATGGCCGTAGGTGCGGGGCCCGGGGAGGTCCGGCCGAACGCAGACTCCGAAAAATCTTCCTGCTCAGGGAGCTCAGATGAGGGAGATGCGGATGGGGATGCTGGGAGACTCGGTCCGCTGGGGTGACTGGTGGCTCACTAGGTGCTCCACCACTGTGTGTTTGGACATGTGCTTCATTAGGTAGGTCTCCTGAAAACACAAAAACAAATTCCAAAACAAACATCATGTTACTGCTTACCATGTTTATACATCTGAACATGACCCTTTAACTCAAACAGTAACTTAAATACACCTGAGAGTCTTTAAATGTTGGGATTTATTTTGGAGAGCGACTGAATCTAATGCTAGCTTATGTCTGCATGTTAGCGGCTGTATCAGCACACAAACTAATATAATCCCACGTTCTACTTTTAGCCCTTTATCTTAAATCCCAGAATAGCAGTTACAATAATTTACCACAGAATGAGACACCCCTTCAATATTTGATATGAACTGTCGCTACCTTGTCTTACGTAAAACAGCCATCAATATACCCGCCATATCTATAACTAGATAACCGTTTATCAAGCCTTCAGCATGTGATGTTTTGCTTGTTAAAGATATCCATCCATCATCTGCTTGTTCTGAAGTCTCCATCATCTGCTTGTTGTGAAGTCAGGTCACAGGGGCAGCAGCTTGAGCAGGGAGGCCCAGACATCTCTTTCCACAGCCACCTCTTCCAGCTCTTCTGGGAAGACTCCAAGGTGTTCCCAGGCCAACCAAAAGGCATAGTCTCTCCAGTGTGTCCTGGGTCTTCCCAGGATCTCCTCCCAGTCGGACATGCCCGAAGCACCTCCCATCTGGTAAGGATGCTCCCTGGGAGGCGCCCAGGAAGCATCCTTACCAGACACCTGAATCACGTCAACTGGATCCTCGATGTAGAGGAGCAGCAGTTCTACTCTTGAGTCTCTCCCGGATAACTGAACTTCTCACCCTATCTCGTGAGCAAAACCCTGAGATACTTGAACTCCTCCACTTCAGGCAGAACCTCACCCTCCACCTGGAGAGAGCAATCCACCCTTTTCCAACTGAGGACCATGGCCTCAGATTTAGAGGTGCTGATTCTCATCCCAGCCGCTTTACACACTCTCCAGTGAGAGCTGAAGATCACGGCACGATGACGCCAACAGGACCACATCATCTGCAAAGAGCAGAGCTGGAATCCCGAGGCCACCGAACCGGAATCCCTCCACCCCCTGGCTGCGCCGAGAAATTCTGTCCATAAATTTCTGAACAGAATCAGTGACGATTGATGATGAATGAATGATGAAAACTAAAATAACCAAGAACACATCAAACTAGACATTGCTATAGTGTTTATGCCATGTTGAGTGTATTAACAAATGCAGCTTTTTTTGTCATTTCAAATGTGCCTCTGAAAAGAAATTGTTAAAAGAACTAGAAAGCACTATCCATTTACCCTGACGCACGCTCAATAATCCTGGTAGAAAAATCTAAAAAAAAAAGTTAAATCTGGTCCTCTGGACATTCAAAAAAACAAAACAAAAAAATTGTAGAAACGTTTAGTATTTCATCCGAAAGACTTCTTCAGTCTGAGGTGCTGTATTCAGCTCAGTCTTATAAATAGCACCTTCTCATAGTGGATCAACTAGTTTGCTGCTGAACACCCAAAACCAGCTGCTCGCATGATCAAGAAGGACCATCAGCCTCACTGATGGCTGTTTGCTATTCACAGGGGGCTGAGTGATACTAGCAATAATAGCATTGTAAGAGGGGGACAGTTGAAGACAGAGGACTCCGCCCCTGTTTAATGATGGACTACCCATTTACCCTCTACTACATCACAAAACCCCCGGGAAGGCGTGGTCTGCCTTTGTGAAGGTGCTTGACAATAGTGTGAAATGGGATTTGGACAGCATGGAAAAGAAACAAAGTATCTGGCCTATTTTGCAATAACCAAATACATGGTTTAAATAGATAAGCACATTTAGTGACACGTTGTGCATAGGCCTGTCGCAATAAACAATAAATCAATTAACCGCATGATAAATGAAAATTATCTACCTCATTTTCATTTATTGGCTTTATTGTTCCTTCATGTCTCTCTCTTTCTACTGAAGACACTGGATGACAAAAAGCTCAACTCCGGTGCTCTTCACTGATCCTTCCCTTTCTCTTTAAAATCCATTTTAACTGTCCAAAATTACGTTTTTGTATCGTGAAAAGCAGCTAAGCTACGAGCTAAGCTATCAGGCCGACCTCGGGAATAAACCTCTGTCTTGTTGAAGCTCCAAAATTCACGGTTGAAACCAGTGCCTTCGTCTAAAAAGTTGTTTTTCTCTGCAAAAAGAAGCTGAGAACTTGTTTAATGATTTTTTATTAAAAGCTTTGCGTCAAAAATGCTATGCTAAAGAGCTCAATCCACATCGAGCGTCCGCCATTTTGAGAACCGAAGAGAGACAGCCCATGTCACATCAAGAGGCCTCCCTCCCATTTTTCTTAAACAGACACGCTGCTCGCTCCATCACTATCCATCCTTCGATTCAAACAGTCTTATACTGCTATCCAGTGGTCAAACAAAGGTACTACATGCAAAACAAATTTTTTTTTTTTTTTTTGATGGCCTCCCTTCTCCCCTTACAGCCATCCTCTCCACACCATTATTATGAAATATTTATTATAGTGACATTCTAGTGTAGGGTTTTTTTTTTTTTTTTATTTTTTTTTTTTAATAGGATAGAAAGAAAGAAAAGACAAAGTAAGACTCCAAAATATAAGAAATATATACAAATAGAGCACACTTCAAAACACCCGGCCACTGTCTGTTCACCTGCAAAGAACATGACAAAACACAGCAACAAAATACATATGTATAAAGAACTTAAAATATTCATGGCTTTGCAGTAAGTTTCAATAAATATATATACCCATACCTACGCCTATATACATACATACATACATACATACACATGAATATACACTCACATACATATCTATATATCTACATATAAAGCCTACATAAACATCCCTGCTTCTATTTGTGTGTGGTTGTGAGCATGCATAAGTGTATAAGGCTTCTCTAATAGAACATTTATTAGTAATTGTGAAGCAGCAGAGACCCGACCCCCAAGACCAGAGGCAGACGAAAAAGGGGGGACCAGAGCCCAAGACCCCAGGAGGGACCCCGACCGCGGAGCCCCCAGAGCCACCCACACAGGGCGAACCACCCACCCACCCCCCAGAAGGGACCACAGGGGAGAACCGGAAGATCCCCACCAGCAACCACATACAGTGACCCCCCGGGGCCAACAGCGACAAACTCATAGGCCTCCGTCGGCACCCGCCACACCGATGTAGGTCCAGGTCCAGGCACCGAGGCCCGGGCACCGAGGACTCACACCACCCAGGCCAAGGCCTGACAGGGCCAGAGGACCCGAGCCCCACCAGGCAGACACCAGGCCGAGCCGACACACGCCCAAGCGCCCAGCCCCCGATACCAAGGGCCCCAAGCGCGCCGGCAGGCAAGGGCACACCCCACCAGGGGGCCGCGCGATAGGGGCGCGATGCCAAGCACCCCTAGTTGTATCAAAGAGGGGGCAGTCCGAGTCTCGGCCTAACAAATACCCATTCATACACAGACACAATCACACTATCCCAACCTCAATCTCACATTCATTCACTCAAAGACATACAATAACGATACATTTCATTCTTATTCCCGATACACACTCTATACCCCCCAGGTCCAAGACATGTACCCGCCCTCTACAGGGGGCAGCCCATGCCCAAACCCAGGAGGTAAACCCATTCATTCTTGAGCGGAGAAGAGCCAATACCCCAGACCCGGCCCAGGCCATGCCCCGCCGACAGGATACCCCCCCACCATGAAGAGGACACGCCACCGACCACCCCCACACACTGCCAACAACCAAGCACGCACCCCCAGCCGACCGCCCGCCAGGCCCCGGCAGCCACCCTGGCCAGCGGGCCAACCATGGCACCCAAGAGCCAAGCTCAGGGGGTCCAAACAACCCCAGGGAGAGCACAGCGCCAGCACCGCCCATGGCAACCCCCAGACCCTGAACCCCCACATAGTCCTGGTCAACACCCGACGGCCTGCCCTTCTCCCGGACCCCACCCCCGGAATGGCAGTCAGGGAACTAGGTGGGTAGGAAGAGGAGAAAAAAATAAAATAAAATAAATAAATAACTAAAAATAAGACCCCGACACATGCAAAACAAATTAACCAACGTTTCTTTTTAAATTTGACAATAATTACCAATTGTCAAATTTCAAACAATATTATCGTTTATCACAATAATGTCAGAGACAATTAATCGCCCAGCAAATTTTTTTTATTGTGACAGACCTAGTTGTGCATTTTTCTATGTTTATAAATACTTCAGGTATTCCTGTAGTTCAGAATCTACACCATGAGTAGAAAATCATTTATCTGTGTTGTGGATAAATTTGGCAAATAAAACATTGGATCAAGTTCTAAAAAAAAAAGTTCCACTAATTTTAAGACTGACTCACTGTTTATGTGACGTTGATTTTTTTGTGTGTCGGACATCAATAACATAATAATGATAATGATAATGTCTTCCTTGTCACATTTAAAGGTTTTAATCAGATTCATCATCTTGTTGCAGGTTTTACATTCAGTACACGGCGAAGCAGGCAACTAAAACTAACTTTAGGTTCAGGTTTCTGTCTGAGCCTTCAGTGGACACCTTTCAACGTTGATGCTTTTATTGATTTAACCTTTATATATACAGGTAGACTCATTGGTAAAATTGATAAAACAATTAGCTCGGTAGACGTCCCTTTGTGTTAAGATGACAAGCTGAAAACTCTTCCTCTCTGCGCGTTTGAACAAACAGCAAAAACCCGTTGAACACTTAAATATCACAAACAGGAAGCATGACCTCTTCTAGTCAACGGAAGACAGAACATCATCAAATGTCACCATCTTATCAACAATGTGTCATAAACAACCTTTGTGAACACATGCTGGGAAACTGTGAGATAAACGAGCGACTTGCGGTTCACTCACCGAGGTGTATGCCCGGCCGCACATGCTGCAGCAGTAGGCCTTCGCGTTTTTGATGGCATGCGCTGACAAGTGGATCTGCAGTGATGCAGAGTCAGAGTAGGCACGGTAGCAGTTGGGACATTTATACGGCTTATCTTTATTGTGCTGCCTCTGGTGGGACTGCGAGAGAAAATACATAGAAACAAATTAGAAAATGAGTGCGTGGAAAGGTTCAGTGTGTAGGCAGGGGTCACACAGGGGGCATAAACAGAATGCACATTTATTTACTGCACTCAATTCTTCAAAAGATGAAAGTGTTTGAAATATCTCATTGCCTTTCTGACAATAGTTTGCTCAAAATGTTACACTCTGGGATTTTTATTTAAAAAAAATTCTAAGGAGACAAACAGCTGCGGTGTGTGTAGAAGTTTCTAGACGACGCGTTGAGTGAAGCCGCAGCTTTTCTGATGCGGTTTGGCCGTTCATTTACACAACAGCCCTCGTTCTCTCTGAAACCGAAGGTTTCTGAATGCAGGTCTCTGAGTGGAGATTTTCAGGGGAACCCCCATAGAGGTGTGACATGCTCGTGTGAAGTTGCACATGCGCACAGACGGCTGCAGTCCAAAGTTTTTCTGCACTAACAACAGTTATAATAAACGGCAGAGAGCAGAGTGTTTTTGTGCGATTTACCCTTTTTCAGCATGTAGGAGCAAAATTAATAAAATCCAGTTACAAAGAGTCGTTAGTGTATGTAACTGTGATCATGCTGCAGATGCTGCATGTGCAATGAATGCAGCTGAGCCCTGCTCAGGGTTGCCAGATAAATTTAAAATGTCTTATTTACCGGTACCTCCTCCTTTTCTGTGCACATGTTCAACAAACAACACACACCTCATCTTAGAATATCTTTACTCAGCACATATGACAGTTTAGGTCAAAATACTATCATTTTAAAGCCACAGTACTATAGTTCATAATTTCTTATCTGGCAACCCAACTGACATGGAAACTACAGCGTTCTCATGTAAACCCTCTTTGTTTTGTTTATTACCCCCAGTAAACACTGAAAAAACACTAACGTTTCCAGAGGTTGTTCTCAAGTAAACGGAGCTAAAGTCACATCTTTTGTTAATTCTTGAGCAGCAGAAGGCTCAGACTCTGTTTCTACGCTGTTTTATGTACATATTACAAGTTATAAAAGAAACCCTCTCTTCCAGTTTTGAAGAAAATATTTGGAGCTAAAATATAATTGAAATCTGCGGAAGCTTGGGTGTGCGCTGTCTGCACTCTGGGGGGATAGGAGAGAAAACTGTAAGCCCTACAGCAGTGAGAGACACGTCAGGTGAAAGAAAACAAAAACATCTACGTCCTGATGGAAAATGTATGTACGTACCAAAAAGAGTAACAGGAGTAAAAATAATTTGTTTGGCAAAAACATTAGAAACTTTTAGGGAGCTCAGAAATTATGGTTAGGGTTTGTGACATCATCAAATGTACAAAAGTCAAACTGTGATTGTCTAAAAACTATAATCAGACATACAAAGTCCAACTTTTTGTGATTCGTTGAAGCTCTGAATGTTTCATCTGTTAATTCTGTCGGAGCAGTGGAGCTGGTTTTACTCCATTCCTTATTTTTGTCAGTTTTTTGCCAGTTTTGTTCAGTTGTACTCCTACTAAAAGACATAGCACACTATTCCTGATCCAGCCTCACATTTTGGTTTATAATTTGCATTATTTATTGCAAAGCTGTGCAACGAGATCCAGGGCAAACATTTTGAACAGGACAGTAATGACAGTGCTCATTGGTGCTTTTCACACACACACACAAAAAAAATTGTATTCTTGCTTTAATGGAGTGACATCACAAGATTCAAAGAGCCCTTACTCACCTGAAGGTTAGACAGCTGGGTAAAAGCTTTCTCACATCCAGGGTGAGCACATTTATAAGGCCTATCACCAGTGTGGATTCTGTAGCAAAATAAATATATTTTTTTAATTATTTCATGACAGCACATAAACTTAAAACAAACAGATAATTCAAATCCAGTCCCTGCAAGATTCAGATCTGGTATCAAACAATACAAAAATGTACCAATATTAGACTGAACCTTGTGTTTTTGGACATGGGATGCTTCTCAAATACAAATACAGTTCTGGGGGTAATTATAATGTTTTTTTATTTATTTCCTACTGTCACACCAACCTGGTGTGCTGCTGCAGGTGAGACAGCTGGCGGAAGGAGTTCTCGCAGTAGGAGCAGTGGTAGGGTTTGATACCAAGGTGGATGCGCAGGTGTTGGGACAAGTAGGAGGCGTTGGCAAACGTCTTTGAGCAATGGGGACACTTGTGTGGTTTGGCCTCTGTGTGGGACTTGGAATGAATCTGCATCTCGGACTTGGTTAGGAAGGTGAGCGGGCAGACTTTGCATCTAAACGGTGGGAAAAGACAGGAAAGTCAAGGCATCGGACAAGTTAAGGTGAAGTTTGTCGAGCACTTGAAACTAAATAACACAACGTTCAACCCCTTTCTTAACAATAAACTGAAGCACAACCAAATTTAAAATATATTTTATGTCTAAACTGGCATTACCGCAATGTTATGTCACAGAAACAAGAGTACTGCATACAGCACATTATACGCCCATCAACAAACTATTATACAGCTATGGCAATGGCTTGGACAACAAATATCTTGTAGAACATTTGACCTTGATTTGTGACCTGGACCTTGGAGTTGGTGTGATGAAATTATGTGACATGCTGTCTAGTGATGGTACATACATGTATCAAGGTTTATTAAAGTATCTTGAGCTGATCAGAAGTTATGGGCGGGACAAGATAAAGTTTACGGACCAAACCTTAACACGATCGTCTTTGACAGGCGTATAAAAACAAAGCCAATATGGAAAAGCACTGTGTGAACAAACAAGTCCACATTTACACTTCCGTAGGATTTAGGAAGTAAAGTAGCAGCCAAGTAGGCCTGTCACGACAACAAAATTTGCTGGGCGATTAATTGTCTCAGAAATTTTGCGATAAACGATAATATTGTTTGAAATTTGACAATAATTAGTAATTGTCAAATTTAAGAAGAAATGTTGGTTAATTTTTGAGTGTAGTACATTTTTTTCACCACTGGATGGCAGTATAAGACTGTTTAAACCAAAGGATGGCTAAAGAGGGAGCAAGCAGCGTGTCTCTAAGAAAAATGGGAGGGAGGCCCCTTGACGTGACATGGGCTGTCTCTCCTTCCTGTTTTTTGGTTCTCAAAATGGCGGACGCTTGGTGTGGTTTGAGCTCTCTGGCATAGCATTTTTCACAAAAAGCTTTTAATAAGAAAATTAGTAAACAAGTTCTCAGCTTCTTTTTGCAGAGAAAAACAACTTTTTACACAAAGGCACGGGTTTCAACCGTGAATTTTGGAGCTTCGACAAGACTAAGGTTTTCCCCGAGGTCAGCCTGTTAGCTTAGCTCGTAGCTTAGCTTCTCAGCTTAGCAGCTTTTAATGATCCAAAAATGTGATTTTGGATCGTTAAAATGGATTTTAAAGAGAAAGGGAGGTGCCAGTGAAGAGCACCGGAGTTGAGCCTTGTCATCCAGTGTCTTCAGTAGAAAGAAACACGAAGAAACGATAAAGCCGATAAATGAAAATGACGTTGATAATTTTCATTTATCATGCGATTAATTGATTTATTGTTTATCGCGACAGGCCTAGCTGCACGTGAATGTGGGGATGTAATAAGGTCATTTTCAAACAAGTTGAGGTCCACTATTCTACAGAGAGAATGATTATTCACAAGTGGAAAACATGAGAGAGCTGTCAATCTTCCCAGGAGAGAATGCCTCAATAAATTCACCCTAAGGTCAGACCGTGCAATGCTCAAAGAAATTTTAAAAAGCCTAAAAGCTTCATTTCAGTCAGATACCACCGACCTCAGTTAGCTAACCTGATAGTTAAAGAACACGGCAGCCCGACTTAGGTTTGTAAAGTTTGGTCAGAACAAACCACAGTACTTCTGGAACTATGTCCTCAGATGAGACCAGTTTAGAGATGTTTACACAAAAAGCATGGCCAGTGTTTGAAACAAAGAAGAAACACAGCACATCAGCACAAACACTTCATAGCAACTGTATAGCACGGTATTGGAGGTGTCATGATTTGGGCTTAGTTTTCAACTGCTGGACCTAGACACCTGGAAGTGATTGGTCCACAGAGGAGCTCATTGTTGACTCAAAGTATTATGTGAAGCCTTCTGTCCAGTAGCTGAGGACTGGATCAAACTGGGTCATGAAACAAGACAATGATCCCAAACACAACAGCAAATCTACAACAAAACAGCCGACACAGATAAGAATCAAGGTGGTCCAGTCAAAGTTCAGACCTCAACCTGACTGAAATGCTGCAGTGGGACCTTAAGAGAGCTATGCAGAAACAAATATCTGCTAACCACAATGAACTGTAGCAACATTGTAAAGATGATTGGGCTAACTTCCTCCACAACTTGATGGGAGACTGACCAGTCAGAAAACTGCAGCTGAAGGTGGTCCTCCAAGCTGCAGGGCCAGGTGGACACACACACACAGCTCTTCCATTTTAACTTCAATTCTGTTTATTAAATAAAAACTACTACGGTAGAGTACGTTGTGTGTCTTTGTACCCTCTAGGTTGAATTTGAATAATTTTACAACCTGGTAAAAGCCAGGCCATTTTTTATCATCTTCTAATCTGTAAATGGGGGGGGGGGGGACTTTTATTTTCCCAATGATTGTTGGATGAGTATTACGTGAAAAGTAATAGGAGCATGATATTAAGTTCAACCACTGGTTAACAGAACGAGGTGTAGTAGTTGCATGCTGAGCCAAAAATTACTTCATTACACAACATAGTTAAATTTGTAATTGATGCACGACGGTTTCAGATAGTTTCCCAAAGGTGACTATAGTTAGAAATACTTCTTCTTTGCAGTTCAAACTTTTTGTTTTTCCAATTCACCCTATTTGCATAATGTCGCCCTAGTGCAGGAGTCTGCAACCTTTATGATCAAAAGAGCCAATTTTACACCTTCGTTCACTAAATTAAATGTGCCCGGGGCTGTAAAACCTGCCACAAACCTGTGATTATCAACTGGTGGCCCATGGGCCACTTTAGGTTTGTTGGAGGGGGCTTTTCTGGCCACTAGGGATGACATTAAAAAACTAAAAATATCTAATGATTTTTAACGTTTATTGATATTTTTACAATTTGAGACAAAAGAAAAGACCAGATTTTTGTAAAGAAAGGGAAAAATACATTTTAACCTTTTTTTTAATAAAAAACCAACTATGAACTATGCATAAAAATGAAGTGTCCTGCTTTGAAATGAAACAAAGTTAAAGTGAGTATGTTTTATTTGTTATATTAGTTCTAAGATTAACAAAGTTCAAAAGAAATGACAGGGAAACTGATAAAACTAGCCATTTTTTGTTGTTGCTATAACAACTTATAAAATTTAGTTTTATGTTTGTTTTGGTCAAAGCTTGAAAGAGTCCCTGCAGAGGCACCAAAGAGCCGAATGTGGCTCCGGTCGTTGGTTGCAGACCTGTGTCCTAGTGGTTACTCTGGGACACCTCAAAGTGTTTCAGACAGAAGATGGCAAATTATGCAGCAAACAGACCAAGCAGAATGTATACTGCAACAGAAATATGAAGCTATTTCCTCAAATACAATTTATAAATAAGCAGAACGTGGGTAGAAATGTGGACGTCAGACCCTTTACACAGACGTGTAACACATTTTCTACCTCACCACCTCAGATTCTGTTGCCTCAGCTAACGTCTCCATCATCCAGCCGGCAGCTCTGGTCATAGAGCGATCATGTAAACTCTTGGTTTCGTGTTTAGCTCCTTCCTTTAGTTAAGTTTTGTCTTTATAGAAGTCCACACACATTTAAAAACAGCACCAGCTTCCTGTGTCTAACCTGTAGGTTTTGCCCTCTTTGGGTGCCACAGTGACGCAGCCTTGGTCAGCTAGGATGGGGTAGGGCACCACTAGAAGAGGCCCTGAAGTGTTTTCGGCTTTTATCTTCTTTCGTCCCCGTGGCGCCTTTGGTGGGGGGCCCAAAAGTCCTGCCAGGCCTCCGACCTTCATATGATCCACTCCAGGACCGCTGGCCAGCCCGGAGATGATGTTAACAGAGGGGGCACCGCCCAGGCGGTTCTGGCTGCTGGAGGTCGGAGTCGTCGGGGTCAGGGCCTCTGAGGTGCTGTGGCTGTCGGGTCGAGAGGACGGGGCCAGACCTGTAGGGAAGAGACCCAGAACAACTTTAGCACATTTCAAAGCTGCATGCAGGATAACTTTCTCCCAACTGCATGTATTAACTTTGAAAACCAAACTGTAAAGTCTCATTTAACAATTACTAGACCTCCACTTTGCCTCCCTCTAACCCACATATACTTTTTACAACAACACTTGTGCAAACAGACTAAGGGACTGTCTTACCTGAGCGATGGTTGATGCGACCAGGCTGCTCACCAAGCTGTCTCATGTGCCAGTCTTCCCACAATCCTTTGGCCTTCACTGCTGACTTGTCGTCCAGACTTCCATCTGGAAGTTATGAAGTGATGACGTTAGTATCAATCAGTAAACGATTCCAGTTTTTGCTCCACAATCGGCTGCAGAATTTAGTTAGCTCGTTAACGTCAACTTGAATATAGTTGCCGTTATCTTCTGTGAGGCTGGGTTGTTTAAAATGTTCCTACACGACTTCTGGTGTTAGTTTTGGACACGTAAGCACAAACTGAAGGTGGCACCTGGTCCAGAGCTGGAGGCGGGGCGAGCGTGCAGAGCGATGTCCGGCTGTCCGGAGCCCTGCTGCTGCGTGGTGTGGTGGCCCGGCACCTGATGCGGCTGAGGCTTCTGCACCGGCATGCCGTGCTGAGCGCCGCCGTCCGGGGACGAGGCGGCCACGAGTAACGACTGCTGCGAGGGGGTGGAGGTAGGCGGCAGGTGCAGCGGTCGGATCTTCTCAGCCATCAGCTGCTCCTTGATCTTGTTAATGAGGACCAGGTTATCCAGCTGAAAGGGTTAACGGTCATGCTCAACAGACAACAGATGACCGTGTGTGAATGTCGTTCATGCCCCCCAAAAAAGGAGAACTCATTGCAGGATAGAAGATAGACACAAGCTAATCTAACGTAATCTGCCAGAAGAACAAGTGATAGTCTGAACCTGGGATTTAAGTTTCAGTGGAGAACTGGTAGAAAATGGCGGAAAAGACATTCACACATGGAAACAGAAGGCACGTAAAGAGGTGAGCACCACAGAAATCAAAGGTTGATTGAGAACTTACCTGGCTTGGCATGGATGGAGGGGGTGGCCAGAAATACGGGTTGTTAAATCGAGGCTCTGCCATCCTAAAATACACAGGTTATATTTGATGAGCTATCAACTTACCACAGATTAATCCTGTCAGCTAAAACCACACCCAACTCACACAGCAAGTGTTTGAAGGCCCAAACTTTACATTAATTTCCATTTGATTCGAGTTATTAAAGCTTTACATGGATACTTGTGGTGAAATATATACTACTAAAGTTTTACAAAACTATTTATAGACCTCAAATTACAAAATTTTCTTATAATGTATTTATCATTGTTTTTTTTTACTGTAAAATATTTTTATGTGTTTGCAAGTTTAAGCCGATACCTTTTATTAGCTGTGGTTGTGTTGGCATCTTACACTTGTAATTCAGATAAACTTCTCTAACAAATTTGTTTAATAAAGGAAAAGAGAATTTCTTAGTTTTCACAGAAACTAAACTACGGTTTACCAGTTAGCACGTGTTGTTTACCTACAAACGGCACCTGAAAAATAGGTGAACAACTAAGTTATGTTGCTTATTTGTCATATGCGGGTTAACACAGGGTCAGCAGTGCAGCGAAATGTTCAGGATGAGAAGAATCGATTCAACTCGCTTTTAAAAACAAACAAACAAACAAAAACAAGAAATACTAAAGCATGCAATAAGGATACAAAATAAAGTACCAAAAAGTGAAAAATAAATATATTTACAAGGTCCAAAAGAAATATAGTAAACAGCAACATGGTAGAATATAATGGTGCAAGTAGGATGAATTTGTATGAAAAAGTAATTCGCAAGTAGTAATATAAGCTAAAATGCACATGATATATATTGCACATAACTAACATAAACTACGCAGGTTGTGTGGCAGGTTATTGCACAGGTAGTGAGTGGCATTGAGATTAATTGAATTGTGACGGTAAGGTCGTGACATACAGTACATGATATATGGCAGATATGACATATGACATACATGACATTAGGGATGCATAATATGCGATTTTTGTCCGATAACCAATACCGATATTTTTCCTTATACCTACTTACAGAGACTACATATCTTCCTCTGCTGTGGATTTAAAATACTACATTATTCTGCACGGTCTTTGTCAGTTTGGCTGCTACCAAATGCAGATGCCAGAAAGGGGACTGAACATGATGCAACACTTCAACTTGGATTATGTTTAATGTCAAATTTACTCATGACATTTGCTCTCTCTAACACAACGACAACACTCGAACAGTGCAAATTTGTAATTTTCACAAATCTAAACTCAATGGCATGCGTGATGTCATAACGTTGTGCTGGCACTGTAGATATCCTTGTCACTGGGTTGTCATACAAAAACAGCACCATATATATACATATATATATATATATATATATATATATATATACACATATATATATATACACAT